GGCTCATTTTAAAACAATAAATGGATTATCTTTCATCTCAGGTTTAGTTTGCAGCTAAATCAGCCTTTAAAGCTGTCTTTGAGACTAACCAGCCTCAGAATAACAAAACTAAAAACACTAAAATACTCTTTACACTGTTTATGATCGAGACAAAGATCCTTTTAGTATTTTCGTAAATACTTTAAAGGCTTTATATTTGATTTTTCACACTTAAATAGAAATCAAGTATATCCTCTGAAAATAACTCTGTGAGTCATGACTGTCTACAATGAGTGTAACACCCGAGTCCCACTGTCTGTGATGCTTTCAGAGTTTTCAGAGTCCTATCTTCAGTTTGTTTACATCGCCAGGACGGCCGGCTGACTCCTCCCCTCGTGTGTAAAAGTTGTTTAATTGAGGGACTAGAGAAAAGAAGAATAACATACTGTACTCACTGCTTAACTGCGTTTCTAGATCACGCTCATTTCAGGTAAATTTACATGCAGTGTGAAGATACGAGCATAATAAAGATCTCTAGCAGTAGCATGCTAACACAACAATGCACCGCGAGTTGTTTTGGTTTCATGCTGGTGCTCAAGGGCGACATCTGCTGGATGAAAAAAATCACATATAAAGCCTTTAAACATTTCCATTCATAAAACAGCTGATTACTTGAACATATAATCCTTGATTATTTATTCATCATTACGTATGTTTTGTTTTTTGTCAATCTGAAAAGATAAATCTTTGTAAAGATCGGCCTTTAATTAAAAAAACTTTGAGATTAAAATCCTCTCGTCCTTTTTTAACGACACAAGAGAGATGTGTTGTTAAAAAAGTAACTAAGTAACTTTTACTTAAAGTACATTTTTAAACTGGTATTTTTACTTGTACTTAAGTAAAATTTGATCAAAGTAACAGTACTTTTACTTGAGTAGAATATATTAGTACTCTTTACACCTCTGGAGGTTCACATCACAGATATTTTCAGGGATTAAAACATTTATTTGGATGTAAATAAGGAGACCACTCTGAATACGATGATGTCAAAATAGAGGTATCAAAACATTCTTAACCAAAAATCCCCACAAAGTCTTCAGACCAACCACATCGCAGTGAGCTAGATTTAATAAAAAATAAATAAATAGTTTGACACAGTGACAGTTGATGAGAGGTAAACAATGCAAACAGGTAAATGATGAATGAAAGAAGTTGTAAAGTGAATTTGAGGTCCACATTTCATGCTCGCTGTCTGTTAGTGTAACTTCATATCAGTCACTGAATTTTAAAAATGTCTGCCATGTTGTTGGATGCACAGGTTGGCATTTTGATAAAACGTAGATGAAAAACGTCTAAAAATAATTCCACATCTCACTGTTTTCTTTGTGATTGATTTGCCAATTTCAAAATCCAAAAATCCTCTTCTAATGATTTGTTGAAAAAGATAAATAAGCTGCTCAGCGCTCCATCATTCAGTTCCTCTTCTCTGCTGAGTCGCCTAATGTCGACTGTTTTCTGTTTCAGCTCATCTCCCTTCTCTTCTTTACTCAAAGCTTCTTCCTCATGTGGAGTCCAATCACATGTTTTGGTTTAATATTTCTCTTCTTAAGTTTCTTCTTCAGACTCCATACTAACATCTCCCTCTTCCTCATCCTGGTACCGTTTTATATTTTGGAGAAAATCATGTTTCTTCACTGTTTTTTTCCAAATCTTCCTGGTCCTCATTGCTCTCTTGCGTTCTATGTGGTTTGATCCTCCATGTGACATGTTGGCACTCCTGCAGTTCCTCTTACCCTCTACTTCCTCCTCTACCTCCTCTGTGACTCCTCCAGCTTTATTATTTTTTGTTTTTCTGCGTTCAGCTGCTCGTCTCTTCGTTTCTTCTCTTCTCATTTTATATTTGCTTTGTGTTTCCATGACCTTTTTTGTATTTTTATTACTGACTGCTCCTTTGTAAGTGTCTTGTTTGATTTCTTCTCTCCAGTTCTCCTTTTGCGTCTTCTGTCCTGTTGATCCAGAGCCTCCTATTTTCTTTGGTTTCTCTTTCTCAGTTTTTGTCTCTTTCTCATCTTCTTCACTCACTGCCTCTTGCTGTGTCTCTTCCCTCTCCATCTTCTGATCAGTGTTGATGTTTTTTATTTGTATTGAAAGTCCTGAATCGTCTCTAACTGGTTTCACTGTCTCCTCTTCATTCTCGTCTCCATCATTTGTTTCTCGTCTTTGTCCCTGTTCCTGCTCTTGGTTTGTTTCTTCTTTTAGAATCACAGGTAGATCTGTTTCCTTCATTTCACGTTCTCCTGCTGCAGAGACGATGTCTTTTACTGGCTCTGGTTCTGTCACAAGCTCATCTTCAGACTCACTCTTTTCTCCTGTTTTGTCAGCATTATTCTCTTTTCTTTAACTGAAATGAGGTGAAGTCTTTCTTCTTTTTCTTCATTCACAACCTGAAATCCTGTTTTATCACTTTTAGATGTGACTAGCTTTTCTTCCTCAGAGTGTTCACTTCCATCCTCATGTCTCCTCTTCTTGTTTTCTGTGAAGACACAAAAGATGGAGAAACTGGTGAAGTTTGTGAATAAAAGCTGACCTCATCATAAATGGATGTATGCAAATGAAACTAAAACTAAATGCTAATCACTTCTTGAACTCTAATCTCCTCAATACATCATCAAACGTCTGCATGACTTCATAAAACCTTTAGGAGTCTTACAATCAGAAGACTGACAGTTTGTCACTTACTGAATTTCTTTTGTCTCCATTTCCACACAACAAAGATGATCGCAGGAATGAACAGCAAAGCAGCACAGCCAATCACAGCGCCGATAACAACAGTGCTGGGGAACATGAAGAGATGATCTGAAATTGCAAAAAATAATTCTGTTTAAATTTACTGTTTAGCTCAGTGATCACATAAATAATTAATGACTTATATTTACCTGGAATAGTGAGGTGCTTCTCTCTGGTCTGGTTGATCTTCCTCTGTGTGACTCTACAGGTGAACTTCCTCCCATGTCTCTTCTCCACAGTCACTCTGCTGCTGACAGTGTAGAGACCATCAGGACCTCTGACTGTCTCAGTGGGTTCAGCAGAGAGGAGGTTTCCCTCGCCGTCCAGCCAAAACATCTCTGGCTCTGGATACCAGTCTGCAGACTCACACTCTAACAACACTCCATTGTTGTTTTTGGTCATCTGAACAACAGGTGAGGAGACAGAACCTGTAGAGGAGAGGTTTCTTACATCATCATAAGATCTCTATTAAAGGTCACACATTATGCCAAACACACTTCACCATGTTCCTCTAACTCTAATATGTGTCCCTAGTCTGTCTATAAACCCCTCAAAGAAGAGAAAAGTCCATTCTCTCCGTCTTTTTCCTGCTCCACTTTTCAGAAAATGTGTGCTCAAACAGGCCGTTTGGAGATTTTCCCTTCATGACATCACAAAGGGCAGTAACCCCTCCCCCAGGTGGGTGACACTCCTACAGCTAGGTGTTTGTTCTGCCCTCTGAGTCTGCCTTCTCACCATAAACAATAGGACATGGAGCGAGAAAGCCCGAGTACACCCAAGTCCTTCCAGAGAGGGGGCGTGGTCAGACACAGCTCATTTACATTTAAAGGTACAGACACATAGTGCGTTGCTTTTGATCTGGGAAGTCTGAAATTTGGAGTTTCCAGTCTGATATGTCATCAGGAACGCCCCTCTGAAGTCAGAATTCCGATCTGGAAACTCAGAACAACCTTCAGTAGGCCGAGTTAAATCCAACATGGCTGCTACGTGCATCAACAGTAACATTTAAGCTGTTTAAGCTTTTTGAGTAATTTAGTCAATCACACTGATAGTATTGTGAACACGTTGTCATGTTGTTTCTGTGTGCAAACTATCACATCGTGTGTTGTTATCGTCTGGACAGATAAACACTTTGAAAGCACCAATGAAAGATTTGGATGCACATATCCTTTCTAACATATTCCTCTCTCATCAGCAACAAATCCACGACCGCTGCATGAACATTTATTAAATAATCATAAAAACATGTCCTCTTACCTACAACAAGCTGAACAGTGGAGGTTTTTGACAATGTAGGCATGAAGCATTTGTATCCTCCCTCATCAGAGACTTTAACTTTGGAGAGTTTCAGTGAGATGTTTCCCTTCTCCAGCTCATCAATGAACACTGATGTTCTTCCACTGAAGGACGGATGTTTTTTAGTCTTCAGTTCTTGGCCGTGAAGCCACACCAGGACAAATCTGGGGTTCAGGTCAGGTCTCGCCCACTCCACAGTCATGTCAAAAGCATTCATGACGGGGTCCAGGTGACATGGCAGAATAACGTCTTCACCCACCAATGAAACTACTGGCTGAGATGGAACGATCACCTCAGACTGAGCTGCAAACAAACAGGGATTCATTTTCTATTCCTACAGCTCAGCAAATGTGAGCCATATGGTGTCATTAGAAGCACAAACTTAAACTTCAGTAATTTAAATAACTCTTCATGTCAACATGAACCACATTGTTTGTAATGTTTGCAACTTACCTCTACATGAGTTCATCAGGGCGAGGAAGACATCAGTGTAGAACACCAGGTCAGTGAAGGCACCATGCTGATAGTGAAGGGACCGTCTGTTGGAAACGTGAATCATCCTGGAGCTCTGAAAAGTAAAATACAGCATGATAAAACATTAAAAAAGACGATACTGAGGAGCACTTAAAAAGCCTCTTGCAGGTCGGAGACCACAGTTAATCAAACTGTAGGTAAATAAATGAACGTCAGTATGGGGTGATGGTGACCTCAAAGCCCTCAAGTTAATTTATTAGAATGGTTTATAAACATGATTTTGAAGGGTTGACTTGTTTGGGTTGTCAGAACAGAAATCTGTTTCTGGGTCTCTGAGACTCCACATGTGTTTTAATCATCGTTCTCAAAGTCTGTGATGTGATTCTTTATACTTTATTTCAGACCCATACATCCATATCATTATAAAAAATCACAAGAAATATAAATACAGGACATTAACAAAGGGATATAATCATTACATTTCACAGTGAATTTCTACATGAGGAAAAAATTCCACTCGCACTAATCCGAATCAATAACCCTTAATTAGTTACTAGTGAGTATTTTTAACTGCTCAGTTTGTAAAAAGTTGTTTATAATTCATATTAGAGGAACAAATAAACTGGACACTGAGCGTACATTCAGTTAAATATCATCAACGCACACATTTCTGCTTTAAAGGCTTTACATGCGATTTTTCACACTTAAATAGAAATCAAGTATATCCTCTGAAAATAA